TTGGAGGCGACCATGCTTTGCTGTGGTGGGCTCCAGTCACTGATGTTGACCCGATCCGCAGGAAGTCGGGGTCGCACACCCTGATGATCCATGGAGCTTCGGATGGAGCTTTGAATACTTGGCCGTGCGCCTGACGAAGGCGGCGGGGATCGACTTTCACCGCCGATCAGCGCGCTGTTAATGACACTGTCGCTCCATCCATATTCAATATTGCTGATGCCTCCTATCAGTGGTTGCTTGGATAATCGCGCGCTCCAGTAGTTGGCCGTGGAGACAAATTCTCGGACAATCTCAGGCGTTCCAGCTTGGAAGAGATGAACCGCCCCAGTGGGCAAACTCAGGGCCCAGACATGAGGGCGAGACTTAGAGTATCCAGGCGATGGTAAGGCACTGGCAATGGTCTGGCGCAGCATGAACTTCCAAAGCTCTTCTGCATTTTCCGTCCAGTTGCCACCACCGACTATAACCCCTCCGCGCTGTTTAGACTTTTGTCGCATTGACTTGGTGGAGTTGTTGAACGAGAAAAGACGCATCCAGCCTTGCTGTATAACCGCAAAACAGTCATTCCAGTTCCGGTCCTTGGCCCGTTTGTCCACCGCGTCTAGATGATGCTTGTGTTTTAGGCTCCCCTCCTTGGCCCACGGGGCGCCGGCTAGAGCTAACGTATCATCTTCAAGCAGAGGGGTCGTTCGCTCGGGCTCCTCGTAGCTGTATACCGAGGTAGCAGAGTCCTCCCTGATGATGGCCTGACTCAGAGCATTGGCAAACCCGATAGATTGTTGGTACTCGCCGCGAGGGAAGTCTGAACCAAAAGAGTCTACAGACGCTGAAGTAAACTTGCCTAAAGAATATTTACTCCAGGTACTGGACCCAGTCGGACTCCAGACAGATTGGTCGTCTAGGCTGGTACGGCTGGAGCCCATCGCCGAAGGAGGATAGAGCCTCCCAGCCCGAGAGCGGGGTTTGGATGACCATCGCGCAGCTCCATGGCTTGAATTGGCGGAACGACCGCGAGGAAAGATATCAGAACCACTCTTGCTAATTGTGCTAGGGCTCCTGCGAAGAGTGTTGCTAGAGGGGCCCAAAAAGTTGTTGGAAGACATGCGAGATACTTCACGTTCTGGTTGGGCACCGAACAGAGGCAGTTTTTGCTTTTGGATCGATGTGTAGAATTCCTTGAGTACTGCTTCAACCTGTTGCTCCCAGGCTCTCACTGTTCCGGTGAATGGCGTATTAACCAAAGGCCCAACATCATTTGCACCGCCGTCTCTGTCAAACAAGCCGTGGGTGACCTCTGAAGGGAAAGTTGCAGAGCGTGCCGACGTAGGGGCAGAGTGCGCTTCATGGGATTGAGTCTTGGAGCGGTTGACTGGACGCAACGTCTCAAATCCCTCCGGTGCGGCATCCATTGCGACTCGGTGTATAGTGGGCATGGTATTTCGAACGAATTGAGATTTGGTCATTTTTGAATCGATGTCAGCCATATGCAGATCAGTGTTTAGTAGCAAAATAGAATAGCAAATGGTATGGACAACGTCAGTAGCTTTGAAGCCATGACTCGGGTTGCAATCACACCATCTGGTCGAAAAGGCATCCAGCACTCGATCCACTTGTTGGGTTTCTCCCTTGAGCACCAAACGGTCGCAAAGAGCCCGAAGAGAGGCCACAATGTTGAGATTAGACCAATTGTACAGTCGCATGTATGCTTCACGAACCATTGCCCGATCAGGGTCACCCAGCCAAGCGGCAGCAGACTCGTTGCCTACCATCTGGTCCTGGCTGTCGAAGAGCCTCTGTGCTTGTTCTCGATCTGCAGCTGTGGGTCCATCTTCAATAGCTTCGCCAGGTCCATCTGCCTGATCTTCGGTGTCATCAGACTGAGAGTCTTCCTGTTCAATGAGTGGGGTGTTCGCAGCGGTCTGATAGTTCGATGCTGTTGATATAGAATCAACAGGAGATTCGCAAGCCCTGTCCTCGGACGGAAGCGCCAATCTAGCGACATTGATTTGAGGAATTGCGACCTTTGATTTGATGCTGCGCGAGAAATTCTCCACAACGGGGGACAGGGTACTAGAGGCAGTAACACTCTGAGACTTTTCCTGCAAAGCCAAGTCTGTGAAGACTTCGCCAGTTGAAGATCGATCCTTCTCTGCAAGAGGCGAGATGTCCTGACCACGAGAGGCAGTTGAGGGCTGAAGAGAAGTCTTCGGCTTGGGAGCTCCAGGAGCTGAAACACTTTCTCTTTTCTTCTGCGCCTGCAAAAATGCCGGTTGTCGAATTTTGGCCTCCCAGTCCGCATTTTCTTTCCGGTCTGATTCCTCGTCGAGATAAGGATTCATGATCTGCCGCAGGCTACTCACAGGGCTTGGAGCCGCCATATTATCCATAGTCTGTGGTGCAAGATGTTGAGGAATAACAATTGGGGGAGGAGCATGGTCAGGTACCGACCTCTTCCTTCTACGGAAGAACGAAGATTTCTTGTTCACGACCTGATGGGGTCCTGTGCGAGTTGAGGACGGAGAAGCACCTGCAGGGCTCTTAACTGCCTGCTGAGGTCGTAGCTTTGGGCTGGCAGTCATCCCATTGGTTTCTCTACTCTCATTTTCTTGTAGATGTGACAGATCGTTGGCGTTTATACTTGCTGCATCTGCCGGTCCAGGGACTGAATTCTTAGATCCAAATACACGCCGGAAGAAACCTGGGCGTTCTTTTGTGATTGGAGCAGCATAGTTGGTGGAGATGTTGGCCGAAATTGTGGTGGTTGCCGTTGAGTCTGGGGGAGGAAAAGCCGGCTTGTTATAGGAGATGGTCGGACTGGGGGCAGGCGAGTCCAACGAAGCCGCAATGGCCGGAGGGAGGCCAAGATCCGTATCATCCATATTCTGGAAGTCGTTATCCCGAGCTCTGAGAGTTCCCGTGGCGAGATTTTCAGGCCGAACCTTTCGAACCTGGGGGGCATAAGCAGTTTTCAAACTGTTCCGTCGCGGTGCTACCGGTGTCCGCGCGGCAGCAGTTGCTGGCGTCCTGCCATAATCGTGAACCTTTCGTGGTCCTGCCGGGACACTTGGGGTGGGTGCAGCATCGTGATCGTCGTACAGCGTCAAGTCCTGCCCGACACTGGAATCAGCATAAGGTGCGAACGCTCGTTTTGGCCCGCAATCGAAGCTGGCTGAACGGCGGCCCAAGCCATGATCCGCTCGTGCTCTTGGGATTGTGTATGAGTAGTCCGCGGTGGAGGATGAGCTTCCCTTGCTGTCTTTTCGAGTAGTATTTGTTTGTGGCATAGTTCCGATACCCCCGCGCGAGCTTCCTATCTGCCTCGGTGTCTGGTTATTGGAGCTGCTGTTGCTGCGTCGGCCCTTCGCTGTGATTGTTGCGTAGCGATCATTCCCATCTTCGTATCCGTAGTCTGGTTCTGAGGACACTGACGAGGAGAAGGTGTGTCCGCGGTACCGGCCGTGCGAATCGGATTCTTGTGAGTAATGACTGTGATGGTCGGTTTCGAAGGCGGAATTGAAAAGACGATAGTCGTCCAGAACAGACGAACTAGAGGCGAATTGATCGAGCGAAAGAAGCATGTTGTCGACGATCGACGTTCGTGTAGCATGTTGCGGGGATAGAGAGAGATCATGCGGGTCTCGATCATCCGACTCACTGGTTCTCGCTGGATTATCCATGACGTCTGGGAAAGCATCGCGGATGGAAGGTCGCTCTGGGTATCCTCGTTTGGAGGGCTTGTATCTTGCGGTTTGGGAGGGTGGTGTATGGGGAGGAGAGTACGCCTCCCGTTGGGACATTATTGCGCTAACCGATGTTAATTATTTTATTTCTTAGGCTGATCAAATTTCCAATCCACACAAAGGGAATGACAGGCTCATTGTAGTAGTTGAGGGGGGATGGGGGGATTCGGAGCCACTCGGTTTCCAACATACCAGATCTCTTGCAGGTCTCACAAGGTAATTGACTAAACTGAATTCGACCTGCAGTATCCGATTTGACGGATTGAATGGTAATTTACTTGGTCATAGTCCCACGAGGCCAGGGATGTAAAAAAATAACGAAGATCAAAGGAGTGTAAAAGGGTGGGCAATAGCAAGAGGAACAAGAAACCGGGGGTGGAACGAACTCCTGAGAGTCAGGGAGGTTAGGCGGGAACTTTTTAAAGCCTCTCCGCTACTGCATTGGTACTTTTTTTTATAATATGAGACATATATAGTTAATCAGGAAGAATTTAACATATGATATTGAATAGAAACATGCGAAGGGGGAAATTGCTTGGGTTTTTAGGGATCTACAGATTCAGGGGTTTCATACATACATATTAAGGGCTTATATAGTTACTTTAGGTCGACTTGGATAGTGGTATGTTATAAGGTATGCATATTAGACAGCATATATCAACGCTCTTTGCCTTGCAATCCTTCAAGTACAATCTACAATCTACAATATGTTGTAGTATAGCCAAAAGTACACAAGTGGAGCTGTGGGGATGGAGCTCTTTGTATGTTGATTTCCGTGAATAGAGAGATAGATCTCCGTAGAGACAGTTATAGACGAATGCCTGTGTAGATAAAAGTGAATCCCAGAGTAATAACTACTAAGCACTCCCTGTATCTCTTTCACGGTATGCTACCCCGTATCCATGTTAAGTAGTGTATATAACTTAAGTCTTATAGTTTGGCCCCTTGCAGAGTGGATTATCTGGAGAGGAACCCTTTTCCAGCGGGAATGACACCTGTTCAGAAGAGACATGAGTTGAGATCTATCTAGACTGCAAATTCCAGCAGAAGAGAGTATCTTATACAGAGTACTGTGTCCATCAGGAACTAGGTACATAAAACATAAAAATCCAAAAATAAACAAATGACCGATATACCCAACACGTGATCAAGAAGATGACATAACCGGGCCCAACTCGCATCGGATAGACGTACAACAATTGAACTGCATTGTGAATGCTCCGAGATTGATTTCCCTCCTCGAAAACGGGGTCTAAGATCATGAACCCTCACATCTCTGTTCCCCGCCAACATGCCGGCCCTGCCAACTTCGGCTCAACACCTGCAACCCGGTCTAGTGTCCGCATGCCGCGCTTCTTCAAGAGGTAGGACCAAAGAATCTCGGCGCGAGAGACAATCACTGATATGGGACAGGCTTTTCAAATTCCCACAAATGGACTTTGAAATGGCAATTTGGGAGATGACCTCGTTGCTGATCGCACCCAAGAAGGTATTCAAATCGATATACTACCATGTAAGTGGTCTCTATCCTAACTGGCCCTCGAACTACGCTGATCATGCTATCTGATTTAGAAACGTGAGTCTACTTATTATTCCAAACTTGGCTCGTACCTCGATTGAACAAGCACATACAACTGGCAATACCGGTTACTATCGTCCCAGCCGAGCACTATTGACGCCTTCGAGCAGAAACCAAAAACACATGGCACCGGCCTGATCCGTCATTCACCTACCTACTATCATTCTTCCTCCTCCTCACAGCCCTCGCATGGGGCCTTGCTTATACGCCGGGCTTCGGCGCAATTATACGCCTCGCTTTCCTCTTCGTGTTCGTGCATTTCATCGGCTCGTCACTGCTCGTCTCGACAATTGGATACTTTATCATTGGCCGTCTATTCGGTCCGAATGGAGCCGCCGCCTCTCTAGCTGGCCTGCGGGGCTCCCGTGGCCGAAGACGAGGTGCCGCTCAGGGCTTGTTTACTCAGCCAGGGGAGAAGGAGCAATTGGAGTTTGGATATTGTTTTGACGTAAGACTCCCTGCCATAAATTCCGTGGAATCTCCGACTTACTGACACTGTCGTTGCATAGGTATCCAACCGGGCCTTCTTTCCTCTATATCTCCACCTCTACGTGGTGCAGTTCCTCCTTCTGCCGCTCCTCACCCGCAGCCCGAGTAATTTCCTGGCTACTTTCCTTGGAAACTCGCTTTACCTCTCTGCTCTCATTTACTACACCTACATCACGTTCCTGGGATATAATGCTCTCCCATTCCTGCACAACACAGAACTTCTGCTTGTGCCTATCCTCATATTCGCCGTTATGTGGCTAGTCAGCCTGATTGCCGGTTGGGGCATTGTCATGCAAGGCCGCAGTGTTGAGGGGTTGTTCTGGGGCGTGTGAAGTAGCAAGCTTCCCCCCGAATTATATCCTCTCCCCGGGATTTCCATTCCTTGTACGAAACCTGAAATATCTTTTTTGTCCGGCTCATCCCTTCTCGAAAAAAGCCAGCCCAAAAATGAGGTGATTATCTAATGCTATGGGGGCGTCGGTGTACATGATTTCAATTTACATGATTGCGCATATTTTCTACTGTTTGATTGATTCCAGATGTCCAATGTGAGGAGTATCTCAACTGTTTGCTTTGTTTTTTTTTTTTTGTTGTCTAGATGTGTAACCAACAATTCGACCCAAGTCATGACCACATATAAAGCGAAATCCACAAGCTTATTTCTTACCAACTTTCTTAGTCTTCCCCGAAGCTGCAGCACGCAAACGATCCTCTCGCTGCTGAGCGGCATCGGCACGCTCCTTGGCTTGCTCGTCCTTCTCCTCCTTCTCGGCCAACTTGCGCAGACGCTCCGTCTCACGCTGCTCACGGATAACGGCGAGACGAGCCAGATCCGACTTCGCCTCGTCAGTCTTACCCTCGGCGTGCAGCTTCTGGTAACGTTCACGGGCCTGCTGGGCCTGGACGGCCTCGCGCTCCCGTCGGGACAACTGCGAGATATCCTTGACCTTAGCGGGCTTCTTGGGCTCAGCGGCGGGGTCGTCGACGGGCTTCAGGGTCTGCGAGCGGGACTTGGCAGTGTGGTTGGGGTTGGCGGGGAGCTCGCCGTCGGATTCTTCCGAGTCTGAAGGGGGTAAGTCGCCCGGTTGGGCGGGTCCTTGGCCTCGCTTCTTCAATGCGGCTGCCTTCTTAGCTTTGGCAGCGGCGCGGCGCTCCTCGCGGCTTCCTGCAGCTGTGGATGACTCGATCGGCTTGGACTCGTCCTCGCTGGATTCCTCGGAGCTTTCTTCTTCGGATGAAGAATCTTCGTCACCCGATGACTTGATTTGCTCACCAGGCTCCTATGAGAGGGATATTATGATCAGGATGCTGTGCAAATTGAGTTCATTGGGGCTGAAGTTCACTTACCCGCCAGAGACCCATTTGATTGCCATCCTTGTCTAATGGCTGAAGATCTCTGCTGAAGTGCTTGCCTCCTATTCATCGTCTGATCAGCTTCAAGTATCTCGTACTTATGCTCAGGCGCACACGACATACCTCCTCGAGTAGGCTTGGAGAACTTTCCTCCACGACCACGGGGCGCCATATTGATATGTAGGAAATACTTGAGAGCTTGAGAGCTTTGGTAACAAGGCTGAAGTAATGTATATCTCTATATCGAGAACGAGTTAGCGGGTTCTCATTGAGGGGGGTTTCGCACACAATGAATGGAGGGGCAAAGGCGGGGTGTCGCTTCACAGTTCCTCCAGGATGGAATCAAAAAACAAATCACTTACATGGAGAATTCAAAGTAGTTTAAAACTCTTCAAATGTTGTAAAGGATACAAAAATTCGAAGGGAACAAGTTCGCGAGTTGTCAAGTCACCGCGCTCGCATTAAATCACATGTGGAGACGTTTTTCTTCTCCGTCAAACCACAAGTCGTTGATTTGTTAAGACATACAACATGCAACATACGACATTTGGGATATATATATAGCATTATCATTATATCTTCTATATTCCTATATACTATCTATTTTATCATATTCTCATTCATCAAACTCGAGCTAGACCAGTGCCCACCTTGGTCACTCGAGCCCCAATCAACGTCAATCCACCAAGGAGGACCGCAGATCCCATGAACATCTGGGCGTACAGGTAGTTGCCATTATCACGAACAACTAGCTCACCAGCAATAGGAGACCCTATGAGGGCTGCCACTGCCACCACGCTGAGTACCATACCCATGCGTACACCGATCTTCTTCATATCAGTCGTGAGGGTGCTGAGGGTCGCTGGGAATAACGATTGAATACCCGCAGCAAAGAGGCCATAAAACACAGCAAATGTCCATAGCCCGGACAGGCCGTGGACTGCCGCCCAGCAGTAGCCAACCAAGGCCGTTGCGAAACTGAACGGGATCAACAGGTTGAGAGGACCGGTGAGCTGATCAGCAAGCAGGTTGGGGACCAATCGCCCGACCAATCCGACTCCGTTCATGACTAGGAGCAGATCAATAGATCGATCACTTGACACGCCGATGATGTTACGACTGAAACTGCCGATGTAGAAAAAGCCGACATACAGGCCCCAGAAGTTCATGAACATGCCAATCGCAAACAGCAAGTAGGGCAGCTCGGTGAAGGCAGCCCACTCGACAATCGGACCAGTCTTACGTGGAGGAAGACGCTGCTTAAGGAACAACACACAGGGAGTCAGCGTGGCTACCGAGATAAAGCCCAGCGTTCGTATTGTCCACCCATATCCGACATGGGGCAGCATCTTCATGACAACAGCCGGGAAGACCAGACCCCCCGTCGCAGAGCCCGATGCAACGAGGCCAATAGCGATGCCACGGTTCTTGGCAAAATAAGTCGAGACCAAAGCTAGGGTTGGGCAGAACATGAGACCACACCCAATTCCTTGGCCAACACCCTGTGCTAGGAATAGCTGCCAGTACTTTGTGCAGAGCGAGGTCATGAAGATACTGAAGCATTCCAAGATAGCACCGCAGGCCAGAGTAAACGTGAAATAACCGGCATCGGTGGCCCTGCCGGAGAAAGTGCCAATAAAAAACAACAAAAAGATCTGGATACTCCCGACCCAGGAGATATCCGAGGGTGGATGTCCCAGTGTCTGGGAATAGTATGTCTGGAAGACGCCGAAGCTATTGATATAACCCCATGTATTGAAGATGACGAAGTGTGCGAGGGCAACCTGCGACCAAGCCTGAAATCCGCCGTCCGGAGGCGGCCCGAGATCTTTGCCAGATTCCCGAGTGCGCACCGCCGATAGTGTACGGCTCAAGGCGCTGGTGTTGGTTGGTATGTGGGAAAGGTTGAGTTCATGTCTGATGGTTGATTCTTCATCTGAGGAATGGCGAGTATGGTCTATGTCCTTTTCGTTCTCTGCATGTTCTTCGGTCATACTTGAGGGTTTCTTGGATATATTGGCCATGTTAAAAGTTGGCATGGTTCCTTGATGCGCCTTGCACATGTAGGAGTTTTCCAAGATAACAAAAAACTTGTCAAATGAGTCAAGTCAAAATTGGGGAAAAATTCTTATAACGGGGATCCTTCCGATCGTCGTTCGCAGAGATGGCCGCGCCCTTCGGATGACAGGTCCACTTCCGAAGTTGTAAGCGTATCTTTTTATGTTGCATCTATGTTGTATCTATAGCTAACTCCTATTTTCCAAGTTGAATAGCCTCTAATATCTACATTATACATGTATCTATATATCTTATATTGACCCCACACTCACTTGATATGGCGCAATCCCGGGGTCCCCGCAAAACCGGCTCTCTCGGATAGTTCTAGGTACGTCTCTCTTTGTATGTGACATAACACTTCAGGGAATTCAATGGCTTTCTTTCTAGCACGTACATACATGTAAGTCTATACAAAATCATGGCAAAAAAACCTGTCGTAGGAAGGTGAAAAGCAAGGGAGCATAAACTGGAGCCGACCTAAAACCGTGTTGGCGGAGGTAATGCCTGGATAGCAAGCAACCTTTGAACTAGTGCAGTGTCTTAATATGGGACTAATGGGCCGCTAGCAATAGATCAACCCATCTTCAAGATCGTGTGATAATTTCCGGCATGCGGATCTGAAACGGATGCCAAGGCTAGATTCCCCGATGAAGCATGGCGTATACTTGGCTGTGGCGGGTAATCATCGGTTTGTTGGCCAAAGTCTTGTTCAAATCTCAGTGATCTTGGTTGGCGCTGCTAAAAAGCATTTGAATTGACCCAATAACATCGGCCGGTTCCAATAAGTGCCAGCTGGCATCGGTCTGCTTTGAGCTGGCACCCACCGTAACTGAGTAAACGTGGTCGCGTGGTAGATCAAACTTCTTGAGGGCTCGGAACATATCTAAATTGAATGTTAATCCACGATCTCAGCATCAATCAGGTGAGCAATTTTACCTTCATCGGTGAAGTCATCACCCAAACATAGGATGAAGTCCGGTGCCTTCCCCGGGGCCGTGCCATATTCGTCGACCAACCGGGTGGCGATAAATCCCTTGTTCACAAAGGTTGGCCGGACCTCTAGATTGGCCTTGCCTGCCATGACTTCCACATCCCACCGTTTGGCGACAGTGTCCTCCAAAGCCTTTCGACACTCGCGAGCCTGGAACGCACCGTACTCTGGGTCTGCGCGACGATAGTGCCAGGTCAATGCTACCCGTTTCCGTTCAATGAATGAACCTTGTGTTCGCTCTGTGTAATGTTGGAAGACATCAACCACTTCTTTCTGCCATCCCATGTCGCTTTTCTCGGCTAAATTCTCCCAATCCTCAGATCCGGGCTTTCGGATAAAACAACCGTGCTCGGCACTCAATCCAAGTTCTGGGATATGGCCCATCCACTCGTCCAGGAAAGCCTGGTCTCGTCCACTGATAATCCACACGGCATTTCGTGGGTCAGCCGATAGGCTCTTCAGAGTACGGAGTACCCGATCTGAAGGAATGGCTGCCTGGGGATCCTTGACAATTGGTGTCAATGTGCCATCGTAGTCGAACATGAACAGTCGTCGGCGAGCCTTGCGGTACTGCTTCATTAGTTTTGCGCGATCGAGTGCAGGTGTAGCGACCGATTGGTCAAAGGACGAAAGGTTGGTCAATAGGCGATTGAGGAATTGCCTGGACCACATGGAAACTGTGTTGGTCACCACATGCTTGTATAACTGGAGGTGTTGCTCCTTTCGCTGGTCGGCTGGCATAGTCAATGCTTGATTGATCGCTCCAGCCACCCCGACTAGATCCCACGGGTTGATGTGGATGGCACTAGGCAGGGTGCCCGCCGTACCGGAGAATTCGGAAAGAATCAAAGGGCTGTGGTTGGTTTGTTGACAGACAATATATTCCAGACTCGTTGTGTTCATGCCATCTCGCACCGTAGTGATCAAGCC